CAGGACCCTCCCAGACTCCCCTTGCTCAGGGACCCTCAATAATTCAAAGACCCCCATAAATCAGAGACCCCCAGACTCCCTCAGGAACTCCCCAAAATGTCCCCCCGTTACCCACCCGAGCTGCCAGGGGCTGCGCGAGAGCCCTCAGGGCTGCTCTGGCTGCTCAACTCGTTGGTCGGAATCTCCTGCAGGGGAGGGGGGCGGAGCTTTTAGGGGTGGCCACGCCCCGGGACCCCCAAATCCACCCAAATTCCCCAAAATCCACCCCCAAGGACCCCCAAAATCCCTCCTGGAGACACCAAAATCCACCCCAAAATCCACCCAAATTCACCCCCAAAATCCACCCCCAAGGACCCCCAAAATCCACCCAAATTTACCTCCAAAATCCACCTCCAGGGACCCCCAAAATCCACCCAAATTCACCCCCAAATCCACCCAAATTGACACTCAAAATCCACCCCAAAGCCCACCCAAATTCCCCCTAAATCCACACCCTAGGACCACCCAAATTCCCCAAAAAATCCACCCAAATTCACCCCCAAACCCCCTGAAGCCCCAAAATCCACCCAAATTCCCCCAAAATCCACCCAAATTCCCCCAAAATCCACCCAAATTCCCCTCAAAATCCACTCCCAAATCCACCCAAAATCCCCAAAATCCACCAACATCCACCCCTAAATCCACGCCCAAGGACCCCAAAATCCACCCAAATTCACCCCAAAATCCCCCAAAATCCACCCCAAAACTCCCCCAAATTCCCCAGGACCCCCCGGAGACCCCAAAATTCACCCCAGAGGACCCCTCATGCCAATCCCTGACCACGCCCCCTCGTCTCTGATTGGCTCCCCCTCCCGCCCATCACTCCCTCCCAGCCAATCACCCGGTCGAAGAGGTGGACCGTGACGTCATCGAAGAACGACACCGCCTTGCGCTTCCGGTTGGCGCTCAGTGGCGCTTCCGGCGGCCGCCGCGGCGCCTTCAGGAGGCCCCGCAGGCCTCGCCCGTCCCAGCGCGAAACCACGAGCGGGACCGGCCCCGCCACGACCCCCGCGGGCTCCTCCTCGTCCTCCTCGGCCTCCTCGGCGTCCTCCTCGTCCTCCGCGGGGTCCGCGCTGGAGCCCCAGGGCCCTCCCGGTCCCCCCGGGAGAGGCCGCAGCGCCAGAGGGGGCAGAGGGAGGGACAGGCGGGAGGCTTTGGCTGAGTTTGTGGGAGGGGGAAAAGGGGGTTAAAAATGGGGTGAGGGAGGGGGGGGAAATGGGGTTGGGGGAGTGGAAAACCCTCATGGGGCAGCCCCACAAACACACCCCCAAAATGAGCCCAAAATGAGCCCCTGAGACCCCAAAATGACCCCTCAGAGACCCCAAAATGAGCCCCTGGAGAGACCCAAAATGACCCCAAAATGACTCCCTGAGAGACCCCAAATGACCCCCACGAGAGACCCCAAAATGACCTCCCGAGACCCCAAAATGACCCCAAAATGAACCCCCAAATGACCCCCTCAGAGACCCCAAAATGAGCCCACAGAGAGACCCCAAAATGACCTCCCAAATGACCCCCTTGACCCCAAAATGACCCCCAGAGGCCCAAAATGATCCCAAAATGACCTCCCAAATGACCCCCGTGACCCCAAAATGACCTCCATGTGACCCAAAATGACCCCCCAGAGACCCCAAAATTACCCCCAAAAGGACCCCAAAATGACCTCCCTCAAATGACCCCAGAGACCCCAAAATGACCCCCAGAGACCCCAAAATGACCCCTGAGAGACCCCAAAATGAAAATGACCCCCCAAATCCCCCTAAACTCCCCAAATCCCCCAAACCCCCCACCTCCCAAAGCCCCTAAACCCCCAAATCTGCCCCCCCAAAGCCCCCCTCACCTCTGATCTCGGCGCTGCTGGGGTCCCTGTCAGGTTCCCCCGTGGGTTCCCAGGGTCTCTCGGGTCTCCGGTGCCGCCTCCTCCTCCTCCTCCTCCTCCTCCTCTGCCGCCCCTCCCCTCCCCTGCGGCCCCAGGGGCTCTGCGAGGGTGGGGAGGGGCTCAGGGTGACGGGGGTCAGGGTGGGTCGTGTCCTCTCCCCCGCGGGGTCGCAGCAGGTCCCGCGTGACCCCTCGCGCAGCGTCACCTGGAGCCGCTCCTGCGACACCTGGGGGCGGGGGCCCACTCCTCCCCGCCCTCCCCCGCCTCCCCTGCCCCTCCCCCGCCACCACCGCGGCCTCCGGGGTCTCTGTCCCCTCCCCTCCCCTCCCCCAGCGGTGTCACCGACCCCGACCCCCACGCGGCCGCCACCGCCGACCCCCCATCGCCCTCCCCACCTCCTCCACCCCCTCCCCAGCCCGGGCAGGGGCGGAGACCCCTTGGGACCCCCTTTTGGGGGCGGGCGCGACCCCAACTTTGGGGACGGCTCCGCCCCGCGGGTGGGGTGGGGAGTGGGGAGGAGGCCAGGGTTTCTGGGACCCAGGGCCGATTTGGGGCGTTCTCCTGGGGACCCTTTGGGGGACCCTTTGGGGAGCCCTTTGGGGACCCTGTTTTGGGGGCGATTTGAGGCGGGTCGTTTAGGGTCCCCTCCCCTCGTGGCTTCTCCTCGGGGACCCCTTTTTGGGGGAGCCCCTTTTGGGGGACCCCCTGGGGGGCCCCTCCTGGGGCCGCCTCGGGGCCGTTTTGGGGGATGATTTTGGGGCCATCTCCGGGGGTCTCCTCGGGGACCCCCTGGGGGAACCCCTGGGGGACCCCCGTGTGGCCCTGGGGGACCCCCGGGGGGATTTGGGGCACGGGGGGACTTGGGGGGACAGCGGGGACCCCTTTGGGGACAGCAGGGACACTTTTGGGGACACCTGTGGGGAAATCGAGGAGTCCTTTGGGGACATCGAGGACCCCCCTGGGGACACCTTTGGGGACATCGAGGACATCTGTGGGGACAGCGGGGACACCTTTGGGGACATCGAGGACCCCTCTGGGGACACTTTTGGGGACATCAAGGACACCTGTGGGGACATCTGGGACACCTCTGGGGACATTGGGGACACCTGTGGAGACATTTGGGACATCTGTGGGGACATTGAGGACCCCTGTGGGGACATCGGGGACATCTGTGGGGACATTGAAGACCCCTCTGGGGACCCCTCTGGGAACATCTGGGACACTTTTGGGGACGTCAGGGACATCTGTGGGGACATCTGGGACACTTTTGGGGACATCTGTGGGGACATCAAGGAGTCCTGTGGGGACAGCGGGGACCCCTCTGGGGACCCCTTTGGGGACATCAAGGACACCTGTGGGGACATTGGGGACATCTTCGGGGACACCTTTGGGGATATCGAGGACACCTTTGGGGACATCAGTGAGTCCTTTGGGGACATTGAGGACCCCTCTGGGGACCCCTTTGGGGACACCTCTGGGGACATTGGGGACACCTGTGGAGACATCTGGGACACTTTTAGGGACGTCAGGGACATCTGTGGGGACATTGAGGACCCCTCTGGGGACACCTTTGGGGACATCGAGGACACCTGTGGGGACAGCAGGGACCCCTCTGGGGACCCCTTTGGGGACATCTGGGACACTTTTGGGGACATTTGGGACATCTGTGGGGACATCGAGGACCCCCCTGGGGACACCTTTGGGGACATCGAGGACATCTGTGGGGACATCGAGGACCCCTCTGGGGACGTTGGGGACACCTCTGGGGACATTGGGGACACCTGTGGAGACATTTGGGACATCTGTGGGGACACCTTTGAGGACCCCTGTGGGGACATCGGGGACATCTGTGAAGACGTTTGGGACATCTGTGGGGACATCAAGGAGCCCTTTGGGGACATTGGGGACACCTGTGGGGACATCGAGGACCCCTCTGGGGACATTGGGGACACCTCTGGGGACATTGGGGACACTTTTGGGGACATTGGGGACACCTTTGGGGACCCCTTTGGGGACATCTGGGACACCTTTGGGGACATTGGGGACATCTGTGGGGACATCAGGGACCCCTCTGGGGACACCTTTGGGGACATCTGGGACACCTGTGGAGACGTTTGGGACATCTGTGGGGACACCTTTGAGGACCCCTGTGGGGACATTGGGGACATCTTCGGGGACACCTTTGGGGACATTGGGGGCACTTTTGGGGACATCGAGGACACCTCTGGGGACACCTCTGGGGACACTGGGGACACCTGTGGAGACATTTGGGACCCCTGTGGGGACATCAAGGAGCCCTTTGGGGACCCCTGTGGGGACATCGGGGACCCCTCTGGGGACATCGGGGACACCTGTGGGGACCCCTTTGGGGACATCTGTGGGGACATCGAGGACCCCTCTGGGGACACCTTTGGGGACATTGGGGAGTCCTTTGGGGACATCGAGGACCCCTCTGGGGACAGTGGGGACACCTGTGGAGATGTTTGGGACATCTGTGGGGACACCTTTGAGGACCCCTGTGGGGACATCAAGGAGCCCTTTGGGGACATCAAGGACACCTTTGGGGACACCTGTGGGGACATCAAGGAGCCCTTTGGGGACATTGGGGACACCTGTGGGGACATCGGGAACATCTTCGGGGACCCCTCTGGGGACCCCTTTGGGGACACTTTTGGGGACATTGAGGACCCCTCTGGGGACCCCTTTGGGGATGTCGGGGACACTTTTGGGGACATTTGGGGCCCCTCTGGGGACCCCTCTTTGGGGTCCCCTCGCCCTCCCCCCTCCGGGCCCCTCCCCCTTGGGACCCCTCCCCCTTTGGGCCCCTCCCCCTGCGGCCCTGGGGTCCCCGAGGGTCCCCGAGCCCCGAGACCACCCTGGACCCCCCCCCGGGGGCCTCGGGGACATCGGGGGGGGCCTGGGGAGGGGCCACCGCCCTCGGGGGCAGCGCTGGTGGCCCTGGGGACACTTCTGGTGGTCCTGGGGACATCACTGGTGGCCTAGGTGACATCATTGGTGGCCTTGGGGGCAGCGCTGGTGGCCCTGGGGACAGTGCTGGTGGCCTTGGGGACACCTCTGGTGGCCTTGGGGACACCTCTGGTGGCCCTGGGGACATCTGGGTGGCCTTGGGGGCAACGCTGGTGACCCAGGTGACATCCCTGGTGGCCCAGGTGACGTCACTCGTGTCCTTGGGGGCACCTCTGGTGGCCCAGGTGTCACCTCTGGTGGCCCAGGTGACATTTGGGGTGGCCCAGGTGACACCAGTTGAGTCCTTGGGAACATCTCTGGTGGCCCTGGTGACGTCACTCGTGTCCTTGGGGGCACCTCTGGTGGCCCAGGTGACACTGCTGATGGCCCAGGTGACATCCCTGGTGGCCCAGGTGACATCTCTGGTGGCCCAGTTGTCACCTCTGGTGGCCCAGGTGACGTCACTGGTGTCCTTGGTGGCACCTCTGGTGGCCCAGGTGACATTTGGGGTGGCCCAGGTGACATCAGTTGAGTCCTTGGGGCCATCCCTGGTGGCCCAGGTGACATTTGGGGTGGCCCAGGTGACATCACTCGTGTCCTTGGGGACGTCCCCGGCCCAGGTGCTGTCCCTGGTGGCCCAGGTGTCACCTCTGGTGCCACCCCCCCCGCCCACGGGGACGTCCCCGGTGCCAAAGGGGCCGTCCCTCCTGGTGACCCCCCCGCTGTCCCCTCCTGTCCCAAAGGGGCCACCTCTGGGGACAAAGGGGACGTTCCCGCTGTCCCCTCCTGTCCCCCCAGTGTCCCCTCCTGTCCCAAAGGGGCCACCTCTGGGGACAAAGGGGACGTTCCCCTGTCCCCTCCTGTCCCCCCAGTGTCCCCTCCTGTCCCAAAGGGGCCACCTCTGGGGACAAAGGGGGTGTTCCCGATGTCCCCTCCCGTCCCCCCAGTGTCCCCTCCTGTCCCAATGGCCGTGATGGCCCCGGGGCCAGCGGTGACCTGTCCTGGGTCAACGGTGACATCCTTTGGGTCAGTGGTGACACATCCAGGGTCACCAATGACCTGTCCTGGGTCAATGGTGACATCCCTTGGGTCAGCGGTGACCTGTCCTGAGTCAACGGTGACATCTCTTGGGTCAACGATGACCTGTCCTGGGTCAATGGTGACCTGTCCTGGGTCAGTGATGACATCCCTTGGGTCAATGGTGACCTGTCCTGGGCCACCAAGGACCTGTCCTGGGTCAATGGTGACATCCCTTGGGTCAATGGTGACACATCCAGGGTCAACGGTGACATCCCTTGGGTCAAGGATGACCTGTCCTGGTTCAGTGATGACATCCCGTGGGTCAATGGTGACCTGTCCTGGGCCACCAATGACCTGTCCTGGGTTAATGGTGACATCCTTTGGGTCAACGGTGACACGTCCAGGGTCAACAATGACCTGTCCTGGGTCAATGGTGACCTGTCCTGGGCCACCAATGACCTGTCCTGGGTCACCGATGACCTGTCCCATGTCAACGATGACGTGTCCTGTGTCACCAACGACCTGGTTTGGGTCACCAATGACCTGTCCTGGGTCACCGATGACCTGTCCTGGGTCACCAATGACCTGTCCTGGGCCAATGGTGACCTGTCTGGTGTCACCTCTGCCCTGTCCGGTGTCCCTGATGACCTGTCCTGGGTCACCAATGCACTGTCCAGTGTCACCAGTGCCCTGTCCGGTGTCACCAGTGACCTGTCCGGTGTCCCTGATGCCCTGTCTGGTGTCACCAGTGCCCTGTCCGGTGTCACCTCTGCCCTGTCCAGTGTCCCTGATGACCTGTCCTGGGTCAATGATGACCTGTCCGGTGTCACCTCTGCCCTGTCCTGGGTCAATGATGACCTGTCCTGGGTCAATGGTGACCTGTCCTGGGTCACCAAGGACCTGTCCTGGGTCAATGGTGACATCCCTTGGGTCAATGGTGACCTGTCCTGGGTCAATGGTGACCTGTCCTGGGTCAATGATGACCTGTCCGGTGTCCCCTCTGCCCTGTCCGCTGTCCCCGCTGCCCCGCGCTGTCCCCACGGCGCCATCTCCAGTGACAAAGCCGTGTCCCCTCGCTCGGTGTGGCTGAGCCAGGCCCTGCTTTGTCCCCACGGGGCCATCTCCAGGGACAGAGGGGACAGAGGGGACCCCCCCCGGGCTGGTGACAATGACAACCCCTCCTGTCCCCACGGGGCCATCTCCAGGGACAGAGGGGACGCCCCCCGGGCCGGTGACAATGACAACCTCTCCTGTCCCCACGGGGCCATCTCCAGGGACAGAGGGGACCCCCCCCGGGCTGGTGACAACGACAACCCCTCCTGTCCCCACGGGGCCATCTCCAGGGACAGAGGGGACACCCCCTGGGCTGGTGACAATGACAACCTCTCCTGTCCCCACGGGGTCACCCCCGGTCCCGGCGGGGACGTCCCCGGGCTCGGCGATGGCCGGGATTGTCCCCACGGGGCCATCTCCAGGGACAGAGGGGACGTCCCTTGGGTCAGCGGTGACCTGGCCTGGGCCAGCAGGGACCGGTCCTGGGTCAGCAGGGACCTGTCCTGGGTCAGTGGTGACCTGTCCTGGGTCAACAATGACCTGTCCTGGGTCAATGGTGACATGTCCTGGGTCACCAATGACCTGTCCTGGGTCAATGGTGACATCCCTTGGGTCAATGGTGACATCCCTTGGGTCAATGGTGACCTGTCCTGGGTCAACAATGACCTGTCCTGGGTCAGCAGGGACCTGTCCTGGGTCATTGGTGACATCCCTTGGGTCAAAGGTGATGTGTCCTGGGTCACCAATGACCTGTCCTGGGCCAGCAGGGACCTGTCCTGGGTCACCAATGACCTGTCCTGGGTCAACGATGATGTGTCCTGGGTCACCAATGACCTGTCCTGGGTCACCAATGACCTGTCCTGGGTCAACGGTGACCTGTCCTGGGTCAACAATGACCTGTCCTGGGTCAGTGGTGACCTGTCCTGGGTCACAAATGACCTGTCCTGAGTCAGTGTTGATGTGTCCTGGGTCAACAGTGGCCTGTCCTGGGCCACCAATGACCCGTCCCGTGCCACCAATGCCCCACTTTGTCCCCACGGCGCCATCTCCACTTCCAAAGGCGACGCCCCTCGTGCCAGCGGCGCCTCCTGCCCCAAAATCGCCGCTTCTCGACCCAAAACCTCCCCTTCCTGACCCAAAACCTCACCTCCCCTTGACCCAAAACCGCCCCCTTGACCCAAAATCTCCTCCCGACCCAAAGCCGCCCCCTCGGCCGCGCCTCCTCCCCCCTCGTGCCCCCAGGGCTCGCCCCCCTCGGTGGTCTCGGCCAGGGACCCCCTCTCTGCCCTCAGCGAGGAGGACGAGTCGTTGTCGTTGTCGTTGTCGTTGTCGCCGTCGCTGTCGCCGCTGTCGCTGTCGCAGCGCGGCCGCGAGGGGTCCCTGTCGCGCCACCCCCGCACCACCTCGGCCCGCGCCAGCGCGCACGTGCAGGGGGGGGTCCCCCCACCCAAAAACCCCCCCTGGGCGTCACCCCCCTCCCCCCGGCACAGGGGACAGGCCAGGGCTCTGCGGGGGGCGTCGCTGTCGCTGTCGCCGATGATGTCGCTGTCGCCGATGATGTCGCTGTCGCCGCCGATGTCGCTGCCCGCGGTGCTGCCCCCGGAGCTGCGCTCCGGCCCCCACCCCAAAACGCCTCCTCCTCCCCCTCCCCGCCCGGCGCGATTTGGGAGGGGTCCTCAAGCTCGCCCCCCCACCCCCGCCCCCCAAAATCCGTGCCCCCGACCCGATTTGGGGTCCCCAAAGCCGCCCCCAAAATCCGTCCCCCCGGCCCGATTTGGGGGTCCCTAAGCCGCCCCCGCCACCCCCCAAAATCCGTGCCCTCCCGGCCTGATTTGGGGTCCCTAAGCCACCCCCCGCCACCCCGCCCCCAAAATCCGTGCCCCCGGCCCGATTTGGAGGGGTCCCCGCCGTGCTCCTCGAGGCGGATGAAGAACTCGCTGCCCCCCGAGGGGCTCCGCGCCCCCAGCACCGGCACCACCCCCGGCGGGCTCGGTTTGGGGGTCCCAGGACCTTTGGAGGTCCCCTGTGCCCTCAGCGCTCCCAAAGGCACTCGAAGGCCAAGCCCCCCCCCCGGCCCTGCGTGACCGTCAGGACCTCGTCGGGGTCGGGCCCCGGGAACGAGTCCAGCAGGGGGAAGGGGAGGGGTTTTTTGGGGGAGGGTCTTGAGGGGGCGCGGAGCCCCAGGGTGTCCTCGTTGACCCCCGGCCAGGAGGGAGTGGAGGCGCTGGTGGGCTCGTCCAGGTGGGGCGCTGGGGGGGCGCCAGCACGACTGGAGGACCCCGAACCTAAAGGGGGACAAAATGACATGGGAGGGTCAGGGGGGTCAGGGGACACCCTGGGGACACAGGGACACCCCTGGGGAGGGCGCCAGCATGACTGGAGGACCCCGAACCTAAAGGGGGACAAAAATGACTTGGGGGTCAGGGGGTCAGGGACACCCCTGGGTGAGAGTACAGGGGGACACGGGGACACCCTATGGGGGAGGGGCACCAGCACGACTGGAGGACCCTGAGCCCAAAGGGGGACAAAATGGCATTGGGGGTCAGGGGCTCAGGGGACACCCTGGGGTGGGGGATACGAGGGGGTAAGTGGGGTCAGGGGCACCCTGGGGGACACAGGGACATCCTTGGGGGGGCGCCAGCACGACTGGAGGACCCCGAACCTAAAGGGGACACAAGGGACAAAAATAGAATTGGAGGGTCAGGGGGTCAGGGGACACCCTGGGGGTCAGGGGACACCCCTGGGGTTGGGGGATACAGGCAGGGCTAGGGGGGTCGGGGGTCAGGGGACACCCTGGGCCAGCACGACTGGAGGACCCCGAAACTAAAGGGGGGACAGGGGACAAAATAGAATGGGGGTCAGGGGCGTCAGGGGACACCCCTGGGGTGGAGGATATGGGGGTAAGTGGGGGTCAGGGGACACCCCTGGGACCGGGGACATCCTTGAGGGGGTCAGGGGGACAGCCGGCTGAGGACGCCAGCACACTGGAGGGCCCGGAACCTGAGGGGGACAAAAATGACATGGGAGGGTCAGGGAGTCAGGGGACACCCTCGGGTGAGGGGATACGAGGGGGACACGGGGACACCCTGGGGGAGGGGCGCCAGCACGACTGGAGGACCCCGAACCTAAAGGGGGACAAAAATAGAATTGGGAGGTCAGGGGTCAGGGGACACCCTGGGGTTGGAGGATATCAGGGGGTCGAGGGGGTCAGGGGACACCCTGGGGGTTGATGGGGGAGGGTCAGGAGGATCCGGGGGACACTGGGGACATCCTTGGGGGGTGACACGAGGGGACACGAGGACACCTCCTGAGTGGGAGGGTGTCAGGGACAGATGGGGATGGGGACAGGAAGACGCCCCCACCCTCCCCTCCCCCTTGTATCCCTCCCCCCGTGACGTGTCCTCCCACATCCCCCACCCAGTGACCCCCGCTGACCCCCGGATGTCCCCAAATGTCCCCAAATGTCCCCAAATGTCCCTCACCATCCCTGGGCGCGGGAGGCTCAGGCAGGAGGCAGCCGAGGGTCCTGCGTGTCCCCCATCCCGCGTGTCCCCCCATATCCCCCACCCCGTGACCCCCACCGGATGTCCCCAATGTCTCCCAATGTCCCTCACCATCCGTGGGCGCAGGGAGGCTCCAGGCAGGGGGCAGCCCGAGGGGTCCTGCGTGTCCCCCTATCCCCACGTGTCCCCCATATCCCCCACCCGTGACCCCCTGTGACCCCCGATGTCCCTCACTGCATCCCATCGTGGGCGCGGGGAGGCTCAGGCGGGGGGCAGCCTGAGGGGGCGGCGGCTCCGGAGCCTCCCCAGGAGCTCCCGGTCCGACAGGTGGGGGTAGGGCTGGACCCCCAACTCCAGCAGCTCCCACAGCGTCACCCCCAGGGCCCTGAGGGGACATTGGGGACACTGTCACCTCCCGGGTCATGTCACCCCCAGGGTCACAGGCAGTGTCACCCCCAGGGTCACCCAGCTCGAGCTCCTAGGGTCACCCCAGGGCCCTGAGGACATCGATGTCATTGTCACCCCGGGGTCATCTGTCACCCCAGGGTCATGGGGTCATTGTCACCCCCGGGTCACCCCCAACTCCAGCAGCTCCCACAGCGTCACCCCAGGACCCTGGGGGCATTGGGGACAGTGTCACCCCCAGGGTCAGTGTCACCCCGGGGCTCACAGGGTCATTGTCACCCCGGGTCACAGGGACAGTGTCACGCCCAGGGTCACCCCCAACTCAGCAGCTCCCACAGCGTCACCCCAGGGCCCTGAGGGGACATTGGGGTCACCCAGGTCGTGTCACCCCAGGTCATGTCACCCCAGGGTCATTGTCACCCCCAACTCCAGCAGCTCCACAGCGTCACCCCAGGGCCCTGAGGGGACATTGGGGTCATTGTCACTCCCCAGGATGTCATTGTCACCCCAGGTCACCCCAACTCCAGCAGCTCCCACAGCGTCACCCCCAGGGCCCTGAGGGGACATTGATGTCATTGTCACCCCCCCCGGGGTCATTGTCACCCCAGGGTCCAGGGTCATTGTCACCCCGGGTCACCCCAACTCCAGCAGCTCCCACAGCGTCACCCCCAGGGCCCTGAGGGGTCATTGGGGTCATTGTCACCTCCCCGGGGTCATTGTCACCTCCCCGGGGTCATTGTCACCCCAGGTGGTCGTCACCCCCAGGGTCACAGGGTCATTGTCACCACCCAGGGTCACTGTCACCCCAGGGTCACCCCCAACTCCAGCAGCTCCCACAGCGTCACCCCCAGGGCCCTGAGGGGACATTGATGTCATTGTCACCCCCCCAGGGTCACAGGGACAGTGTCACCCCCCCCGGGGTCACTGTCACCCCCCCAGGGTCACAGGGTCATTGTCACCCCCAGGGTCACCCCCCTCAACTCCAGCAGCTCCCACAGCGTCACCCCCAGGGCCCTGAGGGGACATTGGGGACAGTGTCACCCCCCCGGGGTCATTGTCACCCCCCCCGGGGTCATTGGGGTCAGTGTCACCCCCCCGGGGTCATTGTCACCCCCCCGGGGGACACAGGGTCATTGTCACCCCCCCCGGGGTCATTGTCACCCCCCCCGGGGTCATTGTCACCCCCTGGGGACACAGGGACAGTGTCACCCCAGGGTCAGTGTCCCCGGGGTCATTGTCACCCTGGGGACACAGGGTCACTGTCACCCCCACGGGTCACTGTCACCCCTCCCTGGGACACAGGGACAGTGTCACCCCAAGGTCATCTGTCACCCCCAGGGTCTACAGGGTCATTGTCACCCCCAGGTCCTGTCATCCCCCTGGGGACACAGGGTCAGTGATCACCCCCAGGGTCATTGTCACCCCCAGGTGTCACATGTCTACCTCCTGGTGTCCCCAATGTCCTCCCAACATCCCCAATGTCCCCAATGATGTCCCCAATGTCCCCAAATGTCCCAATGTGTCTCCCAATGATGTCCCAATGTCCCCAATGCCCCCAATGTCCTCAATGTCATCAATGATGTCCCCAATGTCCCCTCAATGTCCCCAATCCATGTCCCAAGATGTCCCCAATGTCCCAATGATCCCCCAATGTCCTAATGATGTCCCCAATGATCCCACAATGTCCCCAATGTACTAATGATCCCACAATGTCCCCAATGATGCACCAGTCACAGTATGTCATGTCACCAATGTCAGTAATGTCCCCAGTGATGCAGTAGTGTCCCGATGATGCAGTGATCACCCAATGTGCAATGCAGTGTCATCAGTAATGTCTGCCAGGTGATACAGTAGTCCCTAATGTCCCCAATGTGTCCCAGTCCCACAGTGATGCCCCAGTGCATGTCAGTGTCACAATGTCCCCAGTGTGCCATGATCGCCCAGTGATTATCTCAGTGATGTCCATTGATGTCCCCAATGTCCCCAGTGATGCAATGCAATGTCCCCAATGTCACAGTGTCCGCAATGTCCCATCCCCAGTGATGTCCCAGTTGCTGTCCCAATGATGTCACAATGATGTCATGATGCCCACGATGTCCCCAGTATCTCAGTGTCCACAATGTCCCCCATGATGTCCCCAATGTCCCAATCCCCCAATGATGTCCCAATGTCCCAATGATGTCCCCAGTGATGTTCCCAATCCCCCAATGATGTCGCAATGGTGTCACAATGATGTC